CGCAAAGAGACTTACTAGGTATTTACTTATTTTTTTTTACATATATTTTCATTTATATATAATATGTTGTATGATAATCATCATTTCATAATCAATAACAATTGATAAAATGATAAAATGATAAAATAATAAAAATTAAATTAAATAAGATTAATTTTAATGGAAATTATAATAACGTAATGTAAGTTTTTAGTTTAAAAAATTGTAAAAAAATAATTTATTAACTATAAATAAAAAATAAACTGTAGCACAGTGTAGTCACGTCACAGTATGTTCGTGGCATAGTTAAGACAAGTATAGATAATATCTGACATTGATTAAAATTACTATCATAAGAAACGATTCGATGCAAATCTGTAGATAGTGTTTAATTACGTCGATAAATACTTTGGAAACATTAGAAATGAACGATTTTAATTATTTATATGAATGATTACGAATTGTAATCATTTGACGTATCGTTAATAAAAGTAAGTCAAGTTAGAGCAGAGAAAATAAATGAGTGTCACAAAAAAATACCTTTTCAGCTTCGCATCGAAACTAAAATACGACCTATAATTTCTTTATCAAAAAAAGTATACCGTGTATTTATTTTTAATTAACACATGGTGATTACTAAATTATGCTTAATGCAATATCTTTATTTTTGTTTAAAAAATACAGTATTATATGTATTTTTGTATATACATAATCCTTGGCGCGTTTTAATTTTGTTTGGTGGTGTTTACATCGTAAATACTTGGCTTTCCATAATAACTGAAATTCTCAAGTCACATAGCATCGGATAGTATATGCAGTAAAATATTGATTGTTTTGTGTGTGGATCAATCAGCTAACGCTGCTCATTGTTAGACAGAGAGACAAAGTGTAGCATTTTATAGTGCCAAAATCACCCCCGGAAACCATTTTAAAATTATCCGGAAACCCGGAGGCCAGTCATTTTGAATTGATGTAATTTATGTGTCCATTTGTTTGTATAATTATAATTTGCTGTAAGTGAAGACGCCTTCATTATAATACTGTGTAACATCCACATCCAATTTCTTTATTTACACCTGTTCATAGCGCCAACCGTTCGTTAGGAGCCCATGATGAGAGGATAAAATACAAAATTTTAATGCCCGATAAATCCAAACCTAACTACATTTAGCTTACTATAATAACATTATTACCAATAATGGTGTATTTTGTGAAGTCTGCATTTTTTTAAAACCAAATTAAGAGTAATAAATCATTGTTTTTCAGCTCATCCAAAAGTGTTACTGTTTATTACCCATGGAGGATTAATGAGTATAATTGAAACTATTCATTGCGGCAAACCTGTCGTAGGCATCCCTATGTTTGGTGATCAACCCATCAATATAAGATTTTTAGAACAAAAAAAAGTTGCAGTGTATGTAGAATATGAAGATTTAAACATTGAATATTTTTATGGAGCTATTAAAACTGCATTATCTGATAATTTCAGGTGACGATAAAAACTAGTTTTAATTTCAATGTTTAACTTAATTAAGATTTAAACATATTTTAGAAAAAATATGAAAAAGCTTCAACTGCAGTATTTTGATCGACCTCAGACTCCGTTAGAAACTGCAATTTATTGGGCCGAATATGTAATTCGAAATCGTGGAGTATCGCCCAACTTATTAAAAACCAACCAACATAATTTATGTTGGACTAAAACTTACTTACTCGACGTAGTTGCTTCTTTAATTTTTTTTATAACTTTAACATGTTATGTTACATTTTATGTACTGAATAAAATTATTATAAATATGCGACAATGGTTTGAAGACTCAAGCAATAAATAATTATCTTATAATTATAATTTTCAGTACATTTGACTTCAGGTAAATTTAAATTACTTATTATTTACGCCGTGGTTGGTTCATTTTTAACTTTAAAATGCTATAACTTTTTGAAGAATTTATGGATCAATATAACTTTTTTTTATATAGATGCATAATATCATTACCTTTCATTTGGTATATTTTTTTCATAAATTTAACCCTTAACCTGCCCACAAGGGGAGATTCAAAATGACAACTTTTTCACAAAAAATTTACTTTTTCAACTTAAATTTTGAAAGTGTTCCGGAAGGTCTGACACTTTTTTATGTATCTTATATTAAAGATTTGTATGAATGTAATATACTTTACTATGGAAAAAAAAATTTGACCTCTGGACTTGTCTTCATGGTGAAAATGGCTACCAAATGCTATTTTTGTGTGAAAATTCTCGATTTTATTTTTTACATTTCTAACTTTATAATGCTATGACATATTGAAAAGTGTATGGATCAACATTATTTTTTTATGAGAAATATTATTTTTTAATAAACCCTTTTTCATTTAATTAGGATATTAATAAGGAACTAGCACATCATATAGCTTTTGGAATAATCCACCAATTTTTTTAAAATTAAACACAATCTAAAGATTTGCATCGAAGCGTTTATTTTTGATAGTGATTTTAATCACTGTCAGATATCATTATACTTGATCCTACTATGCCACGTCACCACTGTGCCGCGACCCCCCTGTGCTGGGTTGTTTTAATTTTATAATGCTATGACTTTTTGAAAAATATATGGATCAAAATAATTTTTTATGATAAATACTATTTATAAACCTCTTTCATTCAACATACCATACCAACATATGCCATGTCTCACCTTGCTGCGACCCCCCAGTTTTTTTTTTTATATTTTTTTGGACTGATACATCCTAATTTAATTATTGTTGCCATACATTTTGCATTAAAAGTGTGCCCTATACTATTATCGAACCAAGTTGACCAAACAGGTCATTAATTTAGGTAATATGTGATAAAATTGAAAGTTTCGTTATTGACTCAGAATATTTTTAACAATTATTATGAGGTATCAAAACGCGCATTCTATATAAACCCTAATACTTGTGTTGTCTGTCCGTCGTTGTTAGCAATAATATGACTTTTATTATTGTTACCAATATTATTATTGTTGTTCGTTGATTAAATTAGGCACATTCGACGACCACTTGCATAATTTGAAATCAGCTTTGTTTAATACCGTACGAACTTCTTCCTTTAAGCGAACGGCTTTTTCAAACGTATCACTTCCGCCTAAGAAATCATAGACAGAAATGAAGTTGGCACTGTGCCGTTCGTCGCCGTTTTTAAACGATAAGTCCAAATTGGTTGATCAGGCTCAGGATCAGGCCATAAAATACCCTAGAAATCTTGATTTTCTTGCGTTACCCATACTTGTCTATGTATTTTTGCTATATCTCCTATCA